GTACTCTGCCGCGGCGGCCAGGTCGCCCCGCTCGTACGCTTCGAAGATGCCTACGCCGCAACCACGCCACCGCGCTCACGGTGGGTCGTGCCGCTCCCGCACCGCGCTCTCGCCGTGGAGGCTGCCGAGGATGGCGCGGTTGCCGCCCATCATGCCCGGCACAGAGAAGCCGCCGGCGGTGCCGAGCACGAGGCTGGGCAGAAGCAGCTCGTCGCCGCTGCCGATGAGGACGTCGAAGCCGGCCCGGATCGAGGCCTGCATGTCCGCGAGGTCGTTGTGCGTGAACTTTGCGCCCACGACGTTCGGCGCCGCCTCCCTGGCCGCCACCAGCACGCGCTCCATGCTGCACGCCACGCCAGTCATGTCCGGGAAGTGGTAAAAGAGCACCGGAGTCGTCGGCACCGCCAGGGCAAAGTCGGCGAGCATCTTCGCGACGGCGGCGTCGCCGACCGGCTTGAAGAAGCACGGCACCATGTACGAGACGGCATCCACGCCGAGGGCCGCCGCGTGCCTCGCCAGCTCGACCGTCTCGGGCGGAGCGAGGCAGCTGACGTGGGCCAGCACGCGCAGCTTCTTCGCCCGGACCTCCTCCGTATTCATCCACATCTCGAGCATCGCCTTGCGCTCGGCGAGCGAGCAGGAGAAGGACTCGCCGTTCGTGCCGCAGACAAAGACAGCGTTAAAGCCCTCAGCGACTAGGTAGCGCGCCTGGCCGGCGATGGAGGCGCACGCTGCGGTCGCGCCGCCGCCGGCGGAAAAAGGAGAGTGGACCGGGGCGACGAGAGTGCCCTTCGCGAAGCGCTGCCACTGCACTGTCATCGACTCCCAAAGCGCGCCTGCTTTCAGAATGAAGAAAAACTGCTAGCCAGAGAAAGCGCTACACGGAACTCGCACACACGAGTGCGGCTAGCCCTTTTGCTTGTACCTATCCGTAACATACTCTGAATCCGTTGTGGATCCGTGTGGTTGGGCGCACAACCTCGTCCTCGACAATCTAAACCTCGACAGTCAGTCCACAACGACGGGGGGGCTCTCAACGAACCGCTTGGGCATCGGCCAGTCATTGTAGCGATCCTTGCGCCAGATGTTGTGCGCCTTCACCTTGAGCGTTGTCATCGTGCTGAGCTCCCGCACGCCCTCTGCCCAGTAAACCTCGAGGCACACAAAGGCGTTGGGGTTGGTCGCGTCGGGTATGGCGGTGACGCGGCCGGCGACCCAGCGATCGCCGATGCATCTCGACGGATATCCTTCCCACAGCTTCTGCTTGAACAGCACCACGTCGTCCTTGTCCAGCGCCGTCGCCTCGGCGACGGGCTGAGAGAAGCTGGTTCGCGGGTAGAGCGTCTGCGCGTGGCCGTGCAGGTCCTTGAACTTCTTGCAGCGCTGGATGAGCTCCGCCTTGGTGCCCGAGCAGGCACAGGCATGCCGCTTGAGGAACGCCTTTGCCTGCGCGGGATTCAGCGCGTCCTCCTTCCCTGCCTCGAGGAGCGCCTTTGCCTGCTCATCAAGAGGAATGTTGCCATCGGCCAGCGCCTGCTCGGACGATGCCGCTTGGTCCTCCTGGGTTTTTCGCTTCTTCGGCGTGCGCTCTTGCGCGGTGGGTGTGCGAGGGGGTGGCCGTGTGTGCTTGTATCCGCAGCTCCCGTCACAGGTTTCGCCGTCGAAGAAATCCCAGCAGTAGCCGGGTGGACAGCCTCGGTTGCGGTAGCTGTCGATGACGTCGGCACGCATCGAGTCAAGAGTCGGGGCGGGCTCAAAATCATCGTAGCAAGACATTGACCCGACGGCGAGTGTCGAGCGACGTTTGATGAGCACACCCGCCCGGGGCGCCGAAAGAAAAAAGAGAATTTTTTACGGTTGCCCGGCCGGGTTGCTGCGCAAATCTCGCGCTGCGCTAGGCTCAGAGCGAGTTCGCGCTGCGCTAGGCTCAGACGGCGTGCGTGCGCGGGCCGCCGGGGGAAGTGGCGAATCGATGCGAGCGCGCCGCGTGCTCCACGCGCGGCGCGCTCGTATCGACTTGGAGTCCAATGCGCGCAGCGGGCGGGTAGCACCTCGGGAGCTCGCTCTACCCGGGACGCGGAGAACTGCCCACAGGAGCGAGACTCTATCTGCCACGTCTGGCGTCTGGCGCAAAAGGCCGCGCAGTCGTCCGCACCTGCGGAGGCCGCCGCACCTGGCTAAGGTGTGGGTGTGGGCGCTGAGGCGGGCGGTGAGGGGGGCGGCTAGAGGGCGGGGGGGGGGGGG